CAAACGGCCAGGGAAATGGCAGGAGCCCCCCAGCCCTGGTTGCATCCTCTGCCTGGCCCCCAGTGCCGGCACACTGCCCCCCAAACTCTTGGTCCTGTGTGTCTCATGCAGCCCTGGCTGCTGGTGTCCTGCCCTGTGTCTGGCAGAGACACGGGATGACCCCAGGGTGCAGATGGGACCCACTGTGCTGCCCAGCTTGGCACAGTCCACCCTGAATAGATGACACTAGGAGATGGACAGAGGTCCCTGGGGTGGTATGGGGTTGTCCCATGGGATTTTGGTGGGTCGTGCCCCATGGTCCAGCTCCCACAGCACCTTTCTGCTCTCTCTGCAGCTACCTGAACGACCTGGAGAGGATAGCCCGTGCTGACTACATCCCCACCCAGCAGGATGTGCTGCGCACCAGGGTGAAGACCACCGGCATTGTAGAGACCCACTTCACCTTCAAGGACCTGCACTTCAAGTATGTCCAACCCTTTCTCTTTTGCCTTTTCCCCATGCTGGGATGGATCCTGGTTGCACACTGCATGCACCGAGTTTCCCCCGCTGATTTGGTCATGGCGGGAACTGCTGCCTTAGAGAGAGTGGAAACCACTGAAATAGCTGGAACAGCCTCAAAAACGTCTCGCAGGGCTCAGCCCGGGGGCGGATCCAGGCTCTGGCGAGGAGAGGAAAGGGGAAGGCATCCATCCTCTGTGTGCTGTGACGCCGCTTCCACCGCGGGAAGGGGGCTGGGCAGGAGCTGAGGACTCGGGGTCAGGCACTGGCACTGCTGCCTGCTGGCACCCTGCAGCTGCTTTCCACTGAAAACCCTCAGGAAATAGTCAGGGCACCAGTTTTCGAGGCAAAAACTGGCATTGTGCACATCCCAGTGGATTTAATTCCATGGCAACAGAGCTGCTGGCAGAAGGATCTGCTGGGGTCCTCTTGGAGTGCAGGGAGCTTGCAGGGACCCCTGTGCCACCTTGGTGGGATGGAGGCACTTGGTCCTGCATCACCAGGGCAGTGCTTGGCAGGTGGCAGTGAGGGTGATCAGAGTGGGGATGGAGCATGTCCTGGTGGGGAAGTCTTCCTGCCAGCCACACACTTGGCAGTGGACGCGGTAGCCGATATGGCACTGCTGCTGGGCTTTATTCCATGGAGGCAGGGCATCCTCTGCTGCCCGTGGCAGGAGAGGCATGTGGTGTATTGGAATCATCCCTGAGCCCTTGTGCTGCCACAGTCCCACTGAGCCTGCAGCCTCTTGGCCAAGCTCTGTGCCTCCCCCTGGTCCAAGGTCTATGGCAAAAACCTGCAGTGCCTGCTCTGAAGCAGGTCTCTGGGGAACGTTGCACTGACCACCCCCTAGGAAAGGTACCCCAATCCTGCACTGGCTCACTTCAAGGGTTTACTCTGGCTGGGAAATGAGCCTGGGCACTGCCCTGTCCCTAAGACAGGCAGTGGGTGCCGGGGCAGATCCTCAGCACCAGCAAAATCACTGGAGCAGAGGCACTGTGCTATGCTGCCACCTGTGCTACTCCTCCTCTGGGCAGTGCGGGATACTGAGGCAAGGTGTGGGGTGAGGGTGGTAAGCTGGGAGCTGACACCCATCCCCATGCCACCTCCCTGCTGCAGGATGTTTGATGTGGGAGGCCAGCGCTCAGAGCGGAAGAAGTGGATCCACTGCTTCGAGGGGGTGACAGCCATCATTTTCTGTGTGGCCCTGAGTGCCTATGATCTGGTGCTGGCTGAAGATGAGGAGATGGTGAGTCACAGGGATGAAGCCAGCACTGTGAGCTGTGCTCTCCTTGGCCTCTGGTGGCCATCAATGCCCTGGCCAGCATGGCCCATTCCTCGCAGGTCCAGCAGCATGCCCTGCCTGGGCAGGCAGGAGCAGGGTGGGTGACAGGCTGGGGAGCAGTGGGGTGGGTGCTGCCTAGGGGTCCCTGCCCAGCTCATGCAGCTGTCTCCCCTGCAGAACCGGATGCACGAGAGCATGAAGCTGTTCGACAGCATCTGTAATAACAAGTGGTTCACAGACACATCCATCATCCTCTTCCTCAACAAGAAGGACCTCTTTGAGGAGAAGATCGTGCACAGCTCCCTCACCATCTGCTTCCCCGAGTACACAGGTACTGCTGGGACCCTCAGTACCCCTCTGTCCTCCTAGCAGAGGCAGTGGGCAAAGCCTTGTCCAGGCAGGTTAGCAGGAGGTGCTGGGGTTGGACATGGTGGCTCTCCTGTGCCCAACGAGTGGTGTGTTGGGGCAGCAAGTGAGGTGTGGTGGTGTTTGAGATGCCCTAGGGGATGGGGGAAGATGTGGGGGGCACAACATAGGAGGCAGCAGCCCTGAGAGGTTAGCTGAGGCTCACTCTGCCTGTGGAACATCGGTTTGGCATCAGGGCAGTGATGGTGGCAGTGTGTGGAGCCAAGCCAAGCCCAAAACCCTTTGGTGCTGGTGGCAAGGGGTGCCAGTGGCTGTGGGCGACCGTAGGGCAGCCCAATGTCTTCTCCTCCCAGGGCCCAACAAGTATGATGAGGCTGCCAGCTACATCCAGAGCAAATTTGAGGACCTGAACAAGCGGAAGGACACCAAGGAGATCTACACCCACTTCACCTGCGCCACCGACACCAAGAACGTGCAGTTTGTCTTTGATGCCGTCACCGACGTCATCATCAAAAACAACCTGAAGGACTGTGGGCTCTTCTGAGGGCGGTGCTGCCCAGGTGGGTGGTGGTCCCAGTGGTGGCCCCTAAATGAGGTGGTAACAGAGCATCCTTAGGGGATGGGCTGGGCACTGCTGCCAGCTGCAGGCTGCCCCCCGTCCTCAGCCCCTCCCCTGCTC